ATGAAATTTTCTTGCTATGTCTTGCTTTCACTTACACCATCATGGAAGCCTGCCTTCTGTTACCTAAGGCTCACTAAGTTTATGTTGTATATTTGATTTTGAAATTTAGCACCTTCAGTTTTACTGAGTGATCCACACCTTTGTATATACTTGGAGGCAGCATCTCTGATGTGCCTATCTGACGTTTTCCCAATATGCCTTTTGTTCATGACTCCCAATGGTTCTATACCATGGTATATTCAGGACTTCCGTTTTGGAGGGGGGGGGGGTGGATTGGGGGGGGATTTTGTTCAGTTTGTTTTATATCTATTTTTGTTGTTGATACTGGTCAACTACTTTTCTTTCTTTCTGTTCTCTGCCAAACCTTCCTGGGATGTATACTGGTCATATATTTTTGTGTATGGTATGGACATCTGCCTGCACGGATCCATTTTGAGAGAGGGCGCTACTCCCCATCACTTTGTTATTGCCCCTTGTGATGACTTACAATAAATGTGTTTTGTGGAACATTTGAGGGATGAACTCCCCACTGAAATGTTCCCTAGTGTTTCAATTCCTTGCCTCACATCACCCTTACATATGTATTTTACAAGAAACTCACCTTCTTGGCAGTAGAATTTTAACTTTTAAATAAACTTGGGTGGGCCATTATGATAATACCACTTACTGTATTCTACGTGTGCTAGAGGGGTAAGCATACTCACACAAGTCCCTTCCTTTTTAGATTGCTCAATTTCAAGTTGTGTCCTAAGGGTAAATTTGTTGTTCTTCATGCCATTCATGCTTCAAGCTACATCCCACATAACTAATATTAGAGATCCTGCAGGTAATCTCTTAACAGATCCCTCCAGTATAAATCTCTGCTTTGCTAATTATTACTGCACTCTCTACACTTCCAAAACTTATACTGTATGGAGGAATTATTGTCTCATCTTCATAGTGCTGTTACACATGCCCTCCAGTATGGCACATTGCCCCCATCTATGCTACATTAAATGATCATTGTTATTTCTAAACCCCAGGTAAAGACCCGACCCTGTGCGGCTCTTATCATCCTAGTTCTCTTTTAAATACAGATGCTAAGGTCCTGGCAAGAAGGCTGATTGCAGTCATTTCTATGCTCATTCACAAGGATCACACTGGCTTTGTGCCAGGAAAAGGGACCAATATTAATCTCTGATTCCTTTTTACACTTACTAATTTTATAAAGATCATCTTCCTACCCACATTTTTTTTTTTTTTTGGCAAACGCCCATGACACTAGCTAAATCTTTTTTTCTGGAAAATAAACTGTATCCTCTTTTTGTTTATTTGGAATAGGAAATACCCCTTGTATGCAAAACCTGTTTTGCACCTACACCTGACAGGTAGCAGTCCTGTCCTGATAAACTTTTTAGTATATTATTGGGTGGCGATACTTATTACCATGAGCTGGTGGTTTTCACAGCCCAGCAACAATGCTGCAGTCACCCTTGAGGCTGGTGTTTTGGGATCCTATTCTAAGCATAGTAATCTGCCCTTTTAGAGGTCCACACTCCAATTCAGTCCTTATGCAAACTACCCTAGTGGTTTGGAAACAGGCTAGAACACAGTTTTATATGGAGAATTCTTTCTCTGTGTATACTCTGCTATGGGGCAATCTCAATTTGCCATATCTGCACAAGCTTTGAGTCAACTGCTTGAAGACATCCTCTTCCATTGCACAGTATCCCAGTTCTGATGCTCACATGTTCATTGTAGGCACCTTTGGCTGTGGACATGGGTCAGAATGGGTGAACCCTGACTGGTATGTGACTATGCAGCCCCATACACACCAAACTGAAATACACTATGTGTTCTGACACTTTACTATTAGAACCAGCATTAACTTTTTCAGTAATTTGAGCTACGTAGCTCTTCTATTGGATCAGACTACATGAGCCAGCCTTCACTCCCCGTGGGCATCAGTGAGTAATGCCAGCCGTGACCCATTAATTTGTTCACTGATTTTCCTTCCTTGGACCACTTTTGATAGGTCCTGACCATTGCAGACTGGGAACATTCCACAAGAGCTGTAGTTTGCAGTTGATCTTACTCAGTCATGTAGCTATTACAACTTGGCCCTTGTCAAAGTTGCTCAAATCTATATGCTTGCCCATTTTTTTTCTGCTTTTATTGTATGAACTTCAGGGACAACATGTTCACTTTCTGCCTAATATATCCCACCCATTATCAGGTGCCATTGTATCGATGTTATTCGTTTTAACTGTCAGTGGTCATAAACTTACGGCTCATCAGTGTATGCACACCTTTTTCTCAAAGGTGGGCCACTAAAGCTACTATGCTAGCTAGCCTTTGTGAAAGCCCTAAGTGCCATTGTGAGGCTAAAATGAAGGCAGACACATTAAAAAATTAAGTTGTGTGACTGAGAAGGGTAGAAACCTTTTAAAATCTGAGTGGAAATATACATCTATTAAACTGATAGAAAGGAGCCAGTCATCTGGCTAAACGATTTGTAATATTGTTGGTAAAGACGCCATCTTGAATCACTCTAGTCTTATATATTTGTTTAGAAACTTGGAAAGACATTTTAGGTGTATCACTGGTCTCCAGTCCCTTGTTTTCTGTTGCAACAAAAAGTGTGAATATATCCAAGAAAAACATTCTGATGTGGTAATGGTACAATTGCACTCTGACATGAATAAATCTGGACTTTTTTGTCTTAGACTTGGCAATTGCAGATTTTCACCAGAGATTGACCTAAGAAGAGAATCATACATCATCCCTGCGTAGAGGTGGGGTCATTCACCCATGGCCTAAGCCAAAGAACTTTGTTTCTGGTAACTGCATTTAGCATCACTTCCTATAAGCACTTGAGTATGTCAATGGCTACTTCCAGTTCATTACATTTTTATTCATTTTATAAAACTGAGTAACAAGAACAGGCACCTAATTCAACCACACAGGGGCTAGGACTGGTGACATGAGAGTAGACAAACTTGCACATTATGAACAGAAAAGGAGTTATGACCTCACACTAAACCATCATAGTCATTAATACAAACAAGTGAAATTCCAGGGTGATCCTCTTAGCTGGTGAAGCAGGCCATGACATCGTGGATTTCAGACAACAGAGCAGGTAGTCCTGGAAACATATAGACCATAAGAGTGCACAGAGTCCTGTCAAGAAAAGTAAAAGGAAAGAAGCAGAAAAGATGAAGGAAGCAAGACAGGAGGGGAAAGGGAGTGTAGGGGCTTGGGCAAATAAGGGACAGCAGTCAAAGCTGGCAAGTCTACAACAGGACGCAAATTTTTGTTGGTGAGCAAATAAGCCCAGGATAGGGCAGTGCAGTAGGACATATTTAGGGTATTTCTGTATTTTCGGATGGAACAGAGTCTGTAAGAGGCTGAACATTCGAGACAAAAAAACCCACAAGACGCGGGTCAATGGCTTCAGCCTTGAAACTAGCAGATAACTTTAAATTGTTGAAAGAAGCCAATACATCATCTTTACTGAGATTGTTACAGATTGCCAATTCTGATTTCTCAAGCCGCACCTCCAATGCTTTGGAAATAGATGCTATTGCATCCACAGGTGTACAGGCTCCTTCCACAGTTAGATTTTCTACCTTGAATCTACTGACACCAAGGTTGGGGGTTATTATTACTGCCACTGACACCAATGCTGGGGGTTATTGTAATCCATCATCTTCAGTGTGCATTGTGATACACTGCAAAAAATTCAGCAGGGCCATAAGTTTGGGGTATTGAGGTGTCACTACTGCCTATTCCTTTTGAATGGGCTGCCTAACTTGATGCAATGCATCTGAATGCACTGCTATGATGCAGCCCTTTGGAAGTGTTGGTGCTGCACTTGAGGCCGTCTATCATTTTTAAGTTGACCACCACTGCCCTATACCATGGGGATGTGCTGCACTTCACAGAGCTAGCTAGGAACAATCTACTGTAACTAGTAAGAGTGCAGCGTAGGAAGTTAGCCCAAAATAAAATTGTTAGGATCAACTTAGGATACACTTTAAAGAGAACCTGTGCTGAGGAAATGTGGAGGCTCCCAGTGCTGGTCTCTCTTTCTGGTAATGCTGGCTGCTTGGTTCTCACACTGACCCAAAGGCTTATTGTCTTTCTGAAGCACTGATCTGCAATAAGTTAATTGATAAGCAATTCTGGTCAGCACAGTGGCTAAGTGGTTAGCACTTCTGCCTGGCAGTACCAGGGTTGTTGGTTCGAATCCCAACCACGGCACCTCCTGCCTGGAGTTTGCATGTTCTCCCTGTGCCTGCGTGGGTTTCCTCCGAGTACTCCAGTTTCCTCCCACACTCCAAAGACATGCTGGTAGGTTAATTGGCTCCTGTCTAAATTGGCCCTTGTATATGAATGTGAGTTAGGGACCTTAGATTGTACGCCCCTTGAGGGTTAGGGACTGATGTGAATGTACAATATATATGTAAAGCGCTGCGTAAATTGACAGCACTATATAAGTACCTGAAATAAATAAATACATTCTGATTTAATTCTGACATTTAATTTGAATCCTTGTTCTGATTCATTGACACATAAAGTATTGAAGCCAAAGATAGCCAGGAAACTAGTATTTATGAATGGAGATCAGTGATGACAGCTTCCATGTTTCTGTCCTCACAAGTTCCCTTTAAATATGAGTCCAGCCACATGTAACCATTCTTGCGAAGTACAAGTCAGCGTGGGTTTGTTTTAATTAGCAGTGCTGCCAATGTCTCACTACAACTTTGTCTAGGCTCCCTAGAATGCCAGAAAATACAGGAATTGTAAGTGAAGAAGTGATGGGATGAGCATGGAACTACATTTTTTTTTACACAGTACACTTTTTTTTTATTTTTTTGGGGTTAAACAAATCCAGCTGTAAGTCACATCTGGTCAAAACCAGCCCTCCACCCCTGTATTCTATTGGCTGATCCTGCTCCTCCCTATGTGTCTATGAGATAAAAGTGTCTGTACTTTTCCATCTTCAGTCACACTAAAAGCAGTCCATAATGTGCACTCAGAATGATGCAGCAGTCTTGCATGCCCTTTTTAACCCTAATGCCCCATTTGGTGACATAAATGAACAGAATCCGGAAAACCCACAAGAGGACGCAAATCAAGGTAAGGCCACATTTGCTTAATCTAACTGATAATTACTATATGAATTCTTTTTTAGCAGTTATTTAATAGAATGCATGCTCATGTTCCAGGCACAGAAGAGATTGGATTGATAAATAAAATATTGAATAGAGTAATCGGCGCATATCTCTATTAGAGACAAAGGTGACAGCAAGGTTCAAATGCATCACACATGACACCACACACCGTGCGAGAATGTCAGAGGCTGTTAATCATATGGGGAGAGCAGGAAGTGAGCATGCTGCTACCTGTAGTCCAACGGGACATGATGAGACTTACAATTCCACAGAAACAGGGTAAATGTCAGAGGTATACAGTATGCTGTGACTTGTAGAAACTGCAGAGACACCAATGCGAACTTGTAGTTAATGCTGGATCACTGGTCTATGAACTGTCCAAGGTTGCAGACTGGATTAGTATTTCTAAAAAACTGGGTCATGGGTAATGTACTGGATAACTAATATGCTTGTGATAGGTTCAAAGGTCTGAATGTAGATCAATTTTGGAAGAGTGTGGAACAAAACACCATACTGTCATAGACAATAGAGGAGGTCATCTCGTTGTATAGAAATAATGTCTATATGCGGTATGTTCTGGCACCTGTGTTGCTGCAGGTACAGTGAACCCATGTAACACCATTTCCACTAATCTCCAATGATTCTTTTCCTGCTCTCATCTACACTTCCAAACCACTTCAACAACTGAAATTTTTTTTCAACGTTTTGTTACAGATAGAAATAGAAACTTACAAACGTTCTACTCTTTCCGCACGCTACTAAAAAATGTAAAGTGTTTTTTGCACATTGTGTCCCCGCTAAAGAGATTCAACTCACTTCCTGCTCCAGTGACCACACAGGAGGTGAGGGACTATATCCTTGTTAGTGACACAAAAAGTAAAAACCTGACTAGCCCTTCCTCACTACATATATATGAGTCAATAATGTATAACCAATAAGTTGTGGATTCGTACGTCATCATAAAAAAAGCAGATGTTTGTGCTTGTGCATTATTCAACTTTCTCAGCAAAGTAAGGGATGAATGGTTTATGTTAGCAATGAAATAAACATAAGCACACCAAACAATGAGTTCTCTAACTACATTTTTTTTTGTTACAAGGGATTTTAAGAACTTACCCATAACTCCTATCATGTACACACACAGATTGTTCTTTGCTTTTAACCACTTCAGCTCCAGAAGGTTTTACCCCCTTCATGACCAAGCCATTTTTTGCTATACCGCACTGCACTACTTTACCTGTTATTTTCGCTATCATGTGTTTTTCAAAGAAATAGAGCTTTCTTTTGATGGTATTTGATCACCACTGGGGGTTTTTTGTTTGTTTTTTTTTTTAGATCTAAATGAAAAAAAGACTGAAAATTTTGAAAAAAAAATAAATATTTTTTACTTCCTGATATAAAACATATCCAATAACAAAAATTTAAAAATCAAATTTCTTCATAAAATTTGGCCAAAATGTATTTGGCTACATTTTTAATAGCAAAAAATCTCAATAAGTGTATATTGATTGGTTTGCATGAAAGTTATAACACCTACAAACTATGGTGTATATATACACTACTAGGATTTTTTTGTTTTAATACTACTTATGGCGGCGATCAGCGACTTATAACGACTGAGGCTGGCAATCTAACACTGACACTGGGTGGAACGGCCTGACAGCCAATGACATCACCAGTGACATTAATACAGTGGTCAGTGATAATACCATACACTGTCACTGTATTAATGACACTGGCTGGGAAGGGGTCAGCATCTAGGGCCAGCAAGGGGTTAAATGTGTAAATATGTAATGTGTGTAAAATGTGCTGATTTTACTAAGCAATCTCTACATTTCTCATCCCTGCTTTGCACAGCCCAATTTATGCAAACAGCAGCAGGGTTCATCTTCGGTACCCAGTCTCCTCACCTCTTCCTCCATGCCTAGTCTCCACATGGTTGTCCTCTTCTACAGCTGTTTTTTTTGGTTACCCATCATCCTCTGTACCCAGTCTCCACTCCTTTTCCTCGGTACTTAGTTTCTATGCATCCCTCTCCTCCTCCATGCCTGGTCTCCACATGGTTGTCCTCTTCTGTACATGGTCTCTGGTTTCCGATCATCCTCTGTACCCAGTTTCTATGCATCCCTCTCTTCCTCCATGCCTGGTCTCCACAGGGCTGTTCTCTTATATGCCTGGTCTCCACTTCCCTCTCCTCTTCTGTGCATGGCCTCCATTTCCCTGTGCTCCTCTGTGCCTGGTCCCCTCTTCCCTGCCCTTCTTTGTGCCTGGCCTCTGTTCCTTTCCATTCCTTCCTCAGTGCCTGGTATCCTGTCCTCCTCTGTACCTGGTCTTCTCCTTGATGACTGGTATCTGGCTTCTCAGTCCTCCTTTATGCTTTGCCTCTGCTCTTTCTTTCTTCCTCCTCTGGACCACACCATGTCTCCATTCTTCCCCGTTGCTTTTTCTCTTATCCTGATGACAATCACTAGTCCCCCCACCGCTTCCTCCAAAATTGCCCCTCTTTGCCGATTCCTCTCCAATCTTGTCTCTCTGTGGCTGCTCCCTGCTGCGCCCTGACCTAACCTGTTCTTCCCTCACTAACCTTAGGTGTCTCCTCTTGCATTCTGCTTCACTGTCACTGATCTTTTTTTTTTGCACCTTATGCTGTAGTGAATTACATTTACTTTGTACTATGAAAAATGTAAAAATTGTCATACCTAAACTTCAGATTTAAAAGCTTATAGTTTTACTGAACTGTGTTTTGTGAATACACATTTATCAAAAGAATGAAAAAGTGATATTTTTATTTGGATGTCTTCTTTTACAGATTGCAGTTTCGCACCTGCTTTACTGGAAGAGGTACAGAACTTGGAATTGCTTGGTGTTCAAGCTGCAGAATCTGGAGATCTGAAAACAGCCTTGCAAAAATTTAGTAAGGCTATGGAGCTACTTCCTGATCGTGCATCTGCATACAACAACCGTGCTCAAGCTCTACGCCTACAAGGAGACATAACCGGTACTACACTGCATCTACACAATGACATTATATAGTTTCATTTTAGCATGTACCAGGTTGCATAATGGTAAAGATAAACTCCCAGGATACAACTCTGTCAGAAAGGTAAATGACCTTTTATTTCCTGAGTTAACCAGTTTAGCTTGGTCACCAACCTGCCCCTAGCTTGTGATTGGACAGTGAAGCAGCAGACTCTCTCCTTTTGTCAGCACAGGTGTATGTAACAGAGCCTGATAACCCTCCATCTATATACAGGTGAAACTCGAAAAATTAGAATATCGTGCAAAAGTTCATTTATTTCAGTAATGCAACTTAAAAGGTGAAACTAATATATGAGATAGACTCATTACATGCAAAGCAAGATAGTTCAAGCCGTGATTTGTCATAATTGTGATGATTATGGCTTATAGCTCATGAAAACCCCAAATCCACAATCTCAGAAAATTAGAATATTACATGCAATCAATAAAACAAGGATTGTACATAGAACAATATCGGACAAAAGTATAAGCATGCATATGTACTCAGTACTTTGTTTGGGCCCCTTTTGCAGCAATTACTGCCTCAATGCGGTGTGGCATGGAAACTATCAGCCTGTGGCAATGCTGAGGTGTTATGGAAGACCAGGATGCTTCAATAGCGGCCTTCAGCTCTTTTGCATTGTTTGGTCTCATGTCTCTGATCTTTCTCTTGGCAATGCCCCATAGATTCTCTATGGGGTTCAGGTCAGGCGAGTTTGCTGGCCAATCAAGCACAGTAATCCCACGGTCATTGAACCAGGTTTTGGTGCTTTTGGCAGTGTGGGCAGGTGCCATGTCCTGCTGGAAAATGAAGTCAGCATCCCCATAAAGCTCATCTGCAGAAGGAAGCATGAAGTGCTCCAAAACCTCCTGGTAGACGGCTGCGTTGACCCTGGACTTAATGAAGCACAGTGGACCAACACCAGCAGATGACATGGCTCCCCCAAATCAACAAAGACTGGGGAAACTTCACACTGGACTTCAAGCATCTTGCAGTGTGTGCCTCTCCATTCTTCCTCCATACTCTGGGTCCTTGGTTTCCAAATGAGATGCAAAAGTTGCTCTCATCAGAAAAGAGGACTTTGGACCACAGAGCAACAGACCAGGTCTGTTTTTCTTTAGCCCAGGTAAGACGCTTCTGACGTTGTTTGTTGTTCAGGAGCGGCTTGACAAGAGGAATAGGACATTTGAAGCCTATGTCCAGGATCCGTCTGTGTGTGGTGGCTCTTGATGCACTGACTCCAGCCTCAGTCCATTCCTTGTGAAAGTCCCCAACACTTTTGAATGGCGTTTTCCTGCTGCTTGTGCACCTCTTTCTTCCACACTTTTTCCTTCCACATAACTTTCTATTAATGTGCTTTGATACAGCACTTTGGGAACATCCAACTTCTTTTTGCAATTACCTTTTGAGGCTTTCCCTCCTTATGGAGGGTGTCAATGATGGTTTTCTGCACAACTGTCAGGTCAGCAGTCTTTCCCATGATTGTGATTCCTACTGAACCAGACTGAGAGACCATTTCAAGGCTCAGGAACCCTTTGCAGGTGTTATGGCTTAATTAGCTGATTAGAGTGGGACACTTTGAGCCGAGAATATTGCACCTTTTCACAATATTCTAATTTTCTGAGATTGTGGATTTGGGGTTTTCAGGAGCTGTAAGCTCTAATCATCACAATTATGACAAATCACAGCTTGAACTATCTTGCTTTGCATGTAATGAGTCTATCTCATATATTAGTTTCACCTTTTAAGTTGCATTACTGAAATAAATGAGTTTTTGCACGATATTCTAATTTTTCGAGTTTCACCTGTATACTATATCCAGGGGCGGACTGACAACTCATGGGGCCCCCGGGCAATAGGGGATCATGGGACCCCTGTGTCCTTGCCCACACTCACAACACACCCAAAAAAGCCTATAAAAGGTACCAGGGGCATTTCATGGGGTCCCCTACTGACCCGGGGCCCTCAGGCAGTGCCCGAGTGCTCGAATGGTCAGTCCGCCCCTGACTATATCAAAAATGGAAAAAGGTTTTGGCTTCAAGTCTACTTCCATGCCCAAATTTTAAAAAAAAAAACTTTACCCTTGAAGTGGGGAGCCCCCGCACTGCAACTTTCAACTTCAACTTTCATACAGATGGCCTCACATTCTTATCAAGCATACTTTGATATTATGCAAAATGTATAGCTGACTCAATAACTGTGAGCTGCCAAGGCCCTGAAGCAGTAGGCCAACCCCAAACCATTTCTACCACCATGCTTCACAGTTGTTACGAGGTTCTTCTTCTGAGATATTGTCTACTGTTTAAGCGAAACATGGTTACTGTGACCAAACAACACTATTTTTGATTGATCGGTGTTCTGCATATTGTTCCAGTAGCAGCAGGCCTGGTCTCTGCCAATATGTTCAATGGAAAATTTGCTTAACATTGCTTTTGGACTGCTAAGGTTTTTTTTTAACAAACGTCTCATGCAGGTTAATTTGGTGCAATCTCTTTCTGATTGTAGGTGATTCTTGAAGATTTCTTTTAGCATCAGTCAGCTCTTGAGTTGTATTCACTGGGCTGGCCAATCCTAAACAAATTAGTTGTTTGAAATCTACACCACTTGCACATTATTTTACTTACATTGGGAATGACTGATTGCCAAATGATTTGGCAATCTTTTTAAATACCCTGCCAGATTCATTGGCATCTATAACGTTCTTTTTGAGGGCCTTGGAGAGCTCTATTGATCTTGGCATGATGACAGCACACGTAAGTAGTAAAAAGAAAAGTAGACCCAGACTGGACTAGATATCTGAGGTTTAAATAAGATATGTTTAACCTGCATACTCCCTAAGGAGGTTCTAATCATTGGCACCTAATCTGTAACAAGTGGTTCTAATTTTACAGATATGAAGAGGTGGTAAATGTAGGGGTGTACTTACATTTTCTATATCACAAATCTGCATTTTGTTATTTTAGATAATGAATACGTCATGTCAATTTTATGTCATTTGTTCATGTATATCACCTTTATCTGTAGGCATTATTTGACATTTTCAACATATTTGAATAGCAAACATTAGATCTTCATTCAAACATTTCCATTGGGTATACTTGGGTACACTTACATTTTGTACATTACTTTATACAGTTAGTGTCCCTAGTAACTTTATTTAACTTTCCTGGACCCAGATTTTTTCAACCTTTTTGTTTTTATTTTTTCACAAACAATATAGAGTGGGGTCAGCAACCAGTAGATCTTGCACAGGTGACTGGTAGATCTCGGTGTGGACTTGCTGACCCGCCATGCCAGAGCATCAGTGCAATGTAGAGGAACTGCTTGTAAAGTTAGAGCCGTAGTAAGGAACAAGAGCCAGATAAGTTGATTTCTTCTCTGTAGTGCTGGCTCCTACGCCCTGTCATGACTGGTGGGTGTAGTACCAGCCAAGCATAACTTATTCAAGTGAATGAGGCCGCTCTGCAAGTGCCCTGCAGCCTTGTGCAGTACAGTAAACAAGGAGTTAAACAGGCAGTGGTGTGTTGCTTTCTCAGCACCTGCTTTAAGCCCTTGGACCCCGCAGAAGCATGCAGTTCCAGGGTGTTAGAAGCCTTCCATAACCTTCTATCTAATATCTGCTTATTAACCTCCCTGGAGGTATTTCCGAGTGTAGCTCGGGGTAAAGTTTCAGTACCACAAGCGGTAACCCCGAGCTACACTCGGGAATACCTTGCAGCGTTGCTCCGGGATCTCTTCTGCACTTGTCATGCGCTCCCGCGATGTCCCCCCTGCAGTGTCCCCTGTAATGTCCTCTGGCCGATGCCGGCATCTGTCTTCCGGGTTCCATTCCCTGCGACGTCGGGTCGTACGGGGGACGCAACTGGCGGGAAATTTAAAAATGTTAAAAGTGACATTCGCTAAATTCAATAAAATCACATAGTAAAACATTACTGTATCAAACCATTTTGCATACATTTTGTCCCTAGTGCTTTGTCCTGTGCCCTGCCTGCATTTTTACTGTTCTTTCTGCCTGGAAACTGAGAAATGTCCATGGCGTCCAAAAAGCATCCCTTTAGGTTAAAAGCGGTTTTAGACCAGCTAGAGAACAGCGATAGTAAATCAGAACCACTTGCAGAATTGAGTGATAATGATTTGTGGGGAAATTCGTCATCAGACACTGAAACCGATTTCGTGACTTTTGCTCAGTGATGTGCGAACTTGGCACTCTATTTAAACATTTCAGTGTTTTTGGTTTGATTATATTATTGAATTAAATTTATTATTATTATTATATTATTTTTTATGATTATTTATTAAATTATAATTTATGATTTTGTGTTTCAAATTTTAAAATATCCGGGATGTTTACTAGACTCTTGTTCGGACAGATTTCAGTGAGTTATTCCTAAAAATAAAAAAACGACATATTTCCATGCAAACAAAATGTTCCGCTTTGAGCACAGAAATATGGACATAATCAGACCACTAGGGAGGCTACCATTACTAACATATGTATGAATGCATTGGATCTTAATAGAATAATTGAGTTGTTATATTTCTATTTGTTATAGATTGGGAAAAGTAAGACAGAGAGACTTTTATAGTCTATGTGAATACATACTGTATGTATGTGGATATATAGCTTGTTTTTTTTCTGTATATTCTAGCAACATGTGGTAGTAATTAGTCATGAATTGGCTAGCTAGATTTCCTCCCCCCATCTCTGTGGGTAGGAGCTAAAGCTCCACTAATAAGATGATTGTGAGAATCTATTTTAAACATGTTAACCATACAAGTGTAATACTGTAATATTTCTTGATTAGGATATTTATGATATAACTTTATATTAAGAATACTTTTGGGAGATTATATATTATATATATATATATATATACACACACACACACACACACACACACACACACACATGTATGTATATATATATATTATATTTGTAACATATCCCATCCCCCCTGACTGATGGAATGTCAGTGTAGTTCTGATTAGAGAGGTCCCAAGGATTACATTTCAGACTCTGCACTTGGCGAGGGGGAGTAAGACTGAAGGTTTGCTCAATACATCTGTCACAAGATATAATTGTGGGACTATAAGAAACAGAAAGGAAAACCAGCCCACTTTTAGGAGAAGGTGACGGATGAATTGCTCCTTATAGAGCAGAACAAAGACTTTTTAGTTGGACATTTTCACGAAACTTGGAAGAGATTACAAGCTGAGCTAAGGAGCCCACAGACTCACACCACACACACAATTATACACACAATTTTTATCTCAAGAACCAACTATATTTTTTGGACATTATCTAACATTATGTATTCCAATATTGTATTTCTAATTTTATGCAATATTATTATTAAATCCATTTTTGAGTTTATGCAAGAGCTGGAAGGACTTTCTATTTTGGACTTTTCTCATCAATATATGTCAATAAAATATCGAGACAATTCGTTATTTTACACAGGGCATTTCCAAAGTGGCCCATTTACTTGAATGGGTCTCGTTTGACAGGCGGGAGCACTCACCAAAAGCAAGATGGGGTGTAATTCCTGCTGCGGCATGTGCACACCTTTGGCTGCTGCCTCAGCAGCTAAAGGGGTAGAGATTGGGGGGTGTTAAAACCATGATTCAACCGCAGGGTTTTACCACCCCTCAACTTTACATGTGAACAAGCCCTTAGGGTGCCGCTGCCGATTACAACTAAGGGCTCATTCACAGGTGCAGTAGGCACTGCTTCTCCTCTGCAAAGCGATCCCAGTGCATTTGACAGGTAGTGAGGAGGCGATATGTTGCCTCATAAACTGATTGAAACCCATGATTGCAATGCATGCGATTGTGACATGGTAGTATGGCAATTAGAGGTATAAATCAACTGTGAGGAGGCGACACTGTTCCCGCTGATCTTTGACTTCTCCCATGTTGTTCAGATAGATCTCCACCTCTTTAAGGTTGCCTTCCCCTGCTATAGAGATAACTAGGGACAGAGAGATTCTACTAGAAAGTTGGGTGGAGTTGCTATGGGGCCTAGGAAATTACATTGCATGCCTTAATCCTACATATGAAATTATTGTACATTGCAATAGTAAATTTACTAATTCCACTGGTCTGCTTACATCCAGGTGCCCTTGGGGATCTGAATCGTGCATTGGAGCTGAGTGAAGGGAAAGGGGTTGCAGCCCGCCAAGCTTTGGTGCAACGTGGACTAATTCTCCGCTTAAATGGAAATGAAGAAGCAGCTAAGAATGATTTTCTTCAAGCAGCCGAACAAGGCAGTGATTTTGCCAAGCAGCAGCTACTTTTGCTGAACCCATATGCTGCACTTTGTAACAGAATGCTCAGGGACATGATACAAAACTTGCGTGTGCCAAATCCATAGGAGTTCATAGTCAAGTTTTAGTTCAATAAAAAAAGAAAAAAAATCCTAAACCTCCAGTTAATACTTTTAGAAAAAATAAATAAATAAATCACCTAAAGTGTGGTCTAACTTGATTTATTAGGGAAAACATTTTACTTCCCGATTCAAATTGTATACCGCCCTGGATCTGTATGGTGCAGTATTATTTCTTTACTCTTTTTATTTTGTAACTGTTTACATTTTCATCATTGAGCTTCAAAAGGTTTTCATAAAAGGAATTTTGTATTTCTTATATATATTAGTAGCCATTTATGAATTTAGAAACATTTCCAGCTTTTTTTTTAAGCAGTCTATTAATCAGCTAGAATTAATTCCCATCGAAGTTTATGTCACAGTCTCCCAACTCTTACAGTAAAAACCTTTTTGTATGCGGAGGATACAAAAAACTTGAAGATTACACATGGCCAAGGACTTTCCTTACCCTCTTATGACTGAGCTAAGTGGCCAACTGCCAAGCACCAGGGCTGTCCCGTAGGAAGAAGAGGGGAAAGTCACACACGTCCCTAGAAGTAGCAGGTATCCAATGTAGAATATAGCATCCAAGAGGCATTGGGACTTTGATGAGTTCATACAAAGTAATGAGAGGACAAAGACATTTGAAAAGCAACCTGGCTCAGGCAGCTCAAAACAAACAAGGCTACCCTCCGGTTGGTACCCCAGCAGGTTACCAGAATAAAAACATGCACGGATGGAGGGAGCGCCAGACCAAATAATAATAAGAGTCCAAATTAATTTACTGGTTTGTACTATAAAATAGCCAATGTGTTTTGGGGGTCAAGACCCCCCTCCACAGGGCTTCAGGTACAGTAAGAACCTTGAAAGGGCTCAAAACAAAACTTTCCTGTGTGAATCTGTATGAGGAAGCAAATTGCTGAATCAGGAGAGTTACTGGCCAACAGCATCCACATGAACAACCAAGATAAGAAGCTAGAAGTAGGGGGTATGGCACTTAGCTTTTCTGATCAGCTGGGGGGTAAAGGAAAGGTATAAGCAGCTATAGAGGCTGGTATTAAGTGAACCTGTCACTGTCTTCTGCATTGGGCGAAGTTAAAAGTGTTTAACAAATAATGCATCATTGTAAGAAATTTAATTGTAGTTATTTTAAAATTGTTAAAAAAATGTGGAATGCCAGCTGAGACCCTCTCTTTCAAAGTGAAAGTGTTACTAAACCCACAACAGTAAAATCAGTCTGTATATGCAGTAAAGCATGTTTGTTATACTCACTGTGGAACCTAAGGGGTTAATCCTCTTCATTGTGTAAAAAAGGCTGTTTGATCCTGTCTTCTCTGACCCTCCTCTTCTTCCAGTGCCCCCCTCTTATCACCTGATAAGACATATGGTGTGGAGAGACTTTGCACATTTAGGACTGCTGGGGGGAAAAAGATAGGGAGAGAAAATAAAATAGAAGAGGGATATGAGATGGAGTGGGATGACATGGAATCTGAAAAAGGGGGGGGGGCAAAGGTAAAGAAAGGCTATTGGAGAAATAAGGAATACAACAAAGAGGGACAAACATCTATTCTTATCTCCTCCCCCCAGCAGTCCTAAAAACACATGTGCATACTCTTAAGAGGGACCCCCAACTAGCAGTGCTCTAATGGTTTTCCTGCAATAAATTAGGCACAGCAAGGAAAGATAAGAGAAAATTGTTTTCAAATACTTACTGTAACTTTCTTTTCTGGCCTGTCTCATGTCGGTATACTACAGGTCAGTTATTTTTCCTCTGACCCCACAGGATTACCCATTACTAGTCTTTACAAAAAGATATAGCTGCCCCCACCTATGCTCCATCATGAGAACCTTGTGACAGAGGGGCAGGAAATTATGCCAACATAAGAATATTTAAAGAGCTTGACTCTGCTGGAATTAAGGGAATCTGACTTAGCGTTTGCAAAACTATCAGTACATTCTGGAAAACATATTTCCTTGGCAGATTAAATCTGAACACCTGAACACCAGGGAATGGCTTGCTCACCTGGTCCCCCTCAAAGCAGATAAGGAAGAAATTTGACTTTTCAGAATGTAAAAAACACAGCTTCTTGTCCAACCCTGATCGTAAAATGTCTACGTTTTTCACTTATGGATTAATTTATTTACTAAAACTGAAGAGTGCAAAATCAAGCTCACTTCTGCATAGAAACTAATCAGCTTCTAACCTCAACTTGTTCAATTAAGCTTTGGCAATAAAACCTAGAAGCTGATTGGTTTCTATGCAGAAGTGAGCCTAATTTTGCACTCCCCATCTTTAGTAAGTAAACCCCACTGTGTCAGAACTACAGTCTCTGGAAAAAAGTTTCCAATATGTGAAAATAAGTCAGATTAGTAGAAAATTTCCTGGACTTCAATAGAGTCCTGGTGATCTTCCAGGGGAGGCCTAAACATGCAAGCCTCTCCCTCTCAATTCCCAAGTTGGTAAATGGAGACCTTGAAGGTCTGGGTCACAGTGGTCTCCCAGGCTCATAAGGTTCCAAACAGGAGAGAGAAGCCAAGGTGGAGCTGTTGTCATTTGCAAGAGAAATGGAAATCAAGGTCTCCTGGGCCAATACGAGATCATGGCTATTCCACTACCTCTCTCTGTATCTTCTGAAATACTCAGTAGATGAACCCCGTTGATGGATACATATTTGCCATCGGAAACATCCCAATACCATGACAGGGAATCTTGACCCATGGCTTCTCAACACTTGAATTGAGAGAAGAAAAAGGGAAGTTGGTGATTATACTGACAGGCCATAGGATCCACAAATGGTAATTCAGACTGTGAAAATCTCCTAAACAACTTTGGAGTTATTCATCCAATCAGTCCAGAAAATGACTCAGGAAGTCAGCCCTCTGAATCTCTGCACCAGGTAAATATGCGGTTGACATGTCCAGCACATGTCCCTCTGCCTAATAAAAAATCTCAGATTTTTTTTATCCTTTAAGAAAAGAAATGTCAGATCAACATCATGCTGTAAGGCCTCCATGGATGCTGACCTGTCTTCTACTTGAACTCAGGACTGATTTGTTTTGCATACTCTTAGAGCTGTTGTAGTTTGGGAATACCATACCAAAAACACGTGACAATCACAGTACAACACAAATGTGCACGTTTGAGTGCCATTATCCTTAATGGCACCCCAAATGTGATGCAATTCTACCTTGATTGTTGCCAGAAAAACCTTTTCAAACTACATGAAGCTTGTCGCCCAATAAGGAGCGGGAGCTTCTTTTCTGGCGACAAATGCACATACGGCAGCCCATTCAAGTGAATGGGCTGCCCAATGTGACCCACAGGATTGCGTGAAAATCGTGATGTCAAAATGAGGTAGCAAGAACCTTAATTCCGCTACAAGATATAATGAATGGGGCCTTAGAAAGAGAAATAAATCAAAGATTATGTAATCCCTAAGGTAAGGCTGTAATTATATAACAATTTGAGAGTGGTGATTCAGATTACTAAAATTGTCCATAGATGTCTGCTTCTCTTTAAAAGAATTACACACAGCTTGACCCTCTGCACCTCAATAATGTTCTATAACACCGCCTGTCACATTTAGTGACACTGAGTGAGCAATTGTAGCTACAGGCAGGCTCCTGTAGGTGTTAGAAAAAAAACCACACACATTCTTCCTTTAAAATTTTATGTGAATTGTAATACAAACAAAAGGATTTAACATTACTCTTACAGAAATATAAAGCATAGAATACTCACAGACATTTGTATTTACAAAGATCTATAGGACAAAAAAAATATATGAATGTGATCCTTTGATTATATTAAGGGTGAATATTGTTGAAATATAATTCAAATACCAAATTTATACAAAGTATCACAGTGTAGAAGTGATTTTAAATCAACTACATTCATCTTAATGCAATCCTTGCTGTTTCCTCTTGCTGTCTCATAACCATACCTTTTTCATAGAGGCTATTGTAAGGTCTATATTGCTCCTTCTCTCTTGTCACAGTTCTTAAACAATCCTTGGATAGCAGCTCTGAAAAGCACTGTACATTCCACACTACCTTTATGACAGCCATGACATCCGCCAAGATACAATGAAATCATCCCTGGTTTGCCGAATGGCTAGAATGTTTTTTTTTCTTATTGGCTGTTATAGGCACAGATGGCATAGCACTGGGAATAACAAGGGTCATTTTAAATTAGCATTTGTACACTGAAGACCAATCTTATTACTTTTTATTTTTATTTTCCACTTATTTTCTAACCAAGCATCAGTAATGTGAATGACTCATACAAAAAAAAATTGAAGTAAGAAAAAAGGAGTTTGGTGCTTTAGTCAACCAAATGCAAAACAATCCCTTAGTGATTCCAGTTGTGAGGACTCCTTGCCATCATTTATGATTCTGTTTGTGTCCACGTCCAATGTCTTGTGTGTTCCCAAACTCGATGCACTCTTTATAGAAAAAATACATTTAAAGTCCAGTTCTTTTAACTTTCCAGAACTACTGAAGTCTAAAATAGCAGTTTTGAATAGACTAGTCGTGTGCATATTTAACATAAGATCACTCCGAAAGGCAATAGAGAAGCTCTTCTGTTTAGTTGTAGGGACTACTTTCATTATCCTTGCTTGTGGTTGCACTATTGCTGGATGAATTTCTTTCCTTCTTTCCCTCAACTAAAGCTTTAAAATGCTGTAAAGAGATAAAAATGATCATAGTATAAAGCAAGTTAATACATAGTCAGCCAGGAAGATATGTTCTGATTTGAAGGTGGACTCCAGGCAAACAGCTGCATACACGGGGATGGTGTTACCTGCCAAATAATTTGTATTTGTCCATCCATTCCTAACATGTACACATTTCTGCCACACAGCATAGCCCTGTCTGGCAGAATAGGTGACCTGATTTTTCTGTAGTGTAATTAAGCACTTGCCGTTCGCCTGCTGTTCATAAACGGCACCCGCCTTTTCTAGCTGTGCGCGCTCCCTGGGAGCGCGCAGCACCGTGATCCGGTGCCCGCTGTGTCCTCCGGACACAGTGAAACACCGATCGTTGGACGGGACCTTTGTACGAGGTCCCGATCATGTGATCACTGATTGGCCCATCAGTGATCACATGCAAAGTAGTAAGCAAGATATCACTTGTGACATCATTGCTTACTACGTGTGAAATCTGTGAATGATCACAGAGGTCACATGGTACAAGGCTATTCACAACAGCCATGTACCATGTGACAAGCTGTGACCAATCACAGCTCACTCAATACTTCTCAATGACTGCAAGAATGCAGACAGAGAGAAAGAGAAATGATTGCTTTTACATCCTATATGGGTGTAAAAGCAATCAGTGTAAAAAAAAAAAAAAAAAAAAAAAAAATCTTCATCACCCCCCACAAGTAGTACAGTGTCACCATGGTAAAAAAATAAATAAAAATAATAATATAAAAAAATAAAATAAAAATATAAAAACAAATGTTTCAAAATTATAATTTTTGGTTTATAAACTAATTTGGATTTTTTTTTTACTAAAAAAATAACGGAATAAATTTTGGCCAAGATTTATAATGAAATATTATTTATTTGCAAAATTTTATTAAAAAAAACTTTTTTTCAAAATTTTTGGACGTTTTCATTTACATAGCAAAAAAAAATAAAAATCCCAGCGGAGAATAACTACCACCAAAATAAAGCTTTATCTGTCTCAAAAAATGGTAAAAAATTCATATGGGTACAGTATTGCATGACCGTGCAATTGTCATTCAAAGTGTGATAGCGCTGAAAGCTGAAAATTGCCCTGGACAGGAAGGGGGTAAAAGTGTCCGGACAGGAAGTGGTTAAATAATAAATGCACATCTTTTGGCAGGTAAAAAAAAAAAAAAAAAGAGCATTTATTATTTTTTGACTTTGCAGCCCACAAAGAATTGCAACAGCGATCAGCCACTCTGTTTTTAAATTGTGACAGTGTGCGTGGGGGAGAAGGTCCCTCGCCCACTGTTAAAGGGGGGGGGGTTTGAGCGGATAGCAGGCAGGTACTGCACTGTAACATGTTATACCCTTAATACAGGTCTAACATGTTGCTAAGATAAATTTATTCTTTAAGTAACACTTACAAGTTTTCTTCTCCTGCCCACCTCCCACCCCAAGCCTGAGACTGGACATTAAAAGGAAATGCAGCAAATTGATGAGGTCATCCACTCTCTTCCTATCAGCATATTCCTGGTTACTATAAAGCATTGCAACACAACTGATTGGCTCTTTGTGCTGCTTTTGCCTTTCCCACTCTGCACACTGTTGTACAGGGATTGCAGAAGACTGATACAAAGTCAGAGTAGCTACATTGCTTGAATATAAAAAATAAATTTATTGATGTATTATTAAATACAGCACTGCTACAAATCTCTAACAGCGATTAGTAGCAGGCTGGAGCTAGTGATATGTCAATAAGAAGCGATTTTTCACTGCTACAGGTTAAACTAGTGCTACATCATTAAAGTGGACCTTTAACAAACAAAATGTAAACAGGTAGGCTTTTTAAACACAGAAGAGGCATACTATGTCTCCTCTGCACTAAAGTATTCTTACCTGCCTGTTTCCAATATACACTCACTGGCCTTTTTATTAAGTACACCTGTTCAATTTCTTGGTAACACAAATTGCTAATTAGCCAATCACATGGCAGCAACTCAATGCATTTAGGCATCTAGACGTAGTGAAGACGACTTTCTGAAGTTCAAACCGAGCATCAGAATGGGGAAGAATGGGGATTGAAGTGACTTTTAATGCAGCATGGTTGTTGGCATCAGACGGGCTGGTCTTAGTATTTCAAAAACTGCTGATCTACTGGGATTTTCACGCACAATTATCTCTAGGGTTACAGAGAATGGTCCAAAAAAGAGAAAATATCCAGTGAGTAGCACTTGTGTGGATGAAAATGTCTTGTTGATGTCAGAGGAGAATGGGCAGACTGGTCTGAGATGATAGAAAGGCAACAGTAACTGAAATAACCACTCGTTACAACCAAGGTAAGCAGAATACCATCTCTGAATGCACAACACGTTGAACCTTGAAGCAGATGGGCTACAGCAGCAGAAGACCACACTCTGTGCCACTCCTGTCAGCTAAGAACAGGAAATGAAGGCTGCAATTTGCACAGGCTCACCAACATTGGACAATAGAAGATTGGAAAAACATTGCCTGGTCTGATGAGTCTCGGTTTCAGCTGCGACATTCAGATGGTAGGGTCAGAATTTGATGTAAACAACATGAAAGCATGGATTCATCATGCCTTGTATCAATGGTTCAGGCTGGTGGTGGTGTAATGGTGTGGGGAATATTTTCTTGGCACATTTTGTGCCCCTTAGTACAAATTGAGTACAGTTTTAAACGCCACGGCCTACCTGAGTATTGCTGCTGACAATGTCCATCCCTTTATTTCATTAGTGTACCCATCTTCTGATGGCTACTGCCAGCAGGATAATGCACCATGCCACAAAGCTCAAGTCATCCCAAATTGGTTTCTTGAACATGACAATGAGTTCACGGTACTCCAATGGCCTCCACAGTTTCCAGATCTCAATCCAATAGAGAACCTTTGGGATGTGGTAAAATGAGAGATTTGCATCATGGATGTGCAGCCAACAAATCTGCAACAACTGCATGATGCCATCATGTCAGTATGGACCAAAATCTCTGAGGAACATTCCCAAAAATTTGTTTAATTTATGTCACGAAGAATGAAGGGGTTCTGAAGGCAAAAGAAGGACAAACCCAGTACTAGCAAGGTGTACCTAACAGAGTGACCGGTTAGTGTACAGCTCAATATACAATTTTGCCATCTGCCTGGATAAGTGAACTCCCACACATGTAAGGGAGTGAAGTCAGCCAAGATGGAAACCCAAAAGAAGACAAAAAAAATAATAATCACATGAGGGTAGTAAGAACAAAAACTAGTATCAGTGACCTTCCAAGTTGTACATGGAACCTAGATATAGATACAGAAAAGCTGGGTGATGAGTCCTCTTCATAATTATCAGGCAAGGCAACTTTGAAGGACAATGGTTTAAGGTGGTGTGCTGTAAAAGCCTCCCTTGCGTAGACTTTAAAAAGCCCAGATACTGCTGCTGGGTACCACCATTTTGAATGTGTTGTCATCAGTCATACTGAATTCCTTTCACTGCCCCTCTGGGAGCTACATAAAGGTTAAGTGTGAAACTGAGGGTAGAGGCGGAGGAGCTGGACCAGCACAGAGAGTAATTAGACACTCCCAGAAGAGCAGTGGGTGATGATGGGCAAGGAGGGCAGGGGATGCGCTAGGAAATGGACTCTAGGATTAATCAAATTTGCTAGAAAGACACATTGCAAATGAATAAAAAATATTTCATGAAAAGGAAATGCACTGCAAGTAAGCGGATAAAATCCAGATTTTTTCTGTGCTTTTGCTTACAGTTTAAGTTGGAGATACCACCTATTACTTGTGAAAGTAGCAAAGGGGACTATTCATAAACTTTGTCACACAACTTTCATCCAGTATTCACACATTTTTCCAACTGATATAAAATAGACAAACTTATATATTGAATAGACCCCTTAAGCTGCCTATGCACGATACGACTTTCAGCCAGTTCTTGAAGGAACAGACAAAATTCACTTTTTGGGTCGCCCTGATGGACCCCCTTTCGCCAGACATCCTTCAAGTAAAAAAAAAAGGAGCTGGGTGTAAATAAATAAATGCACTCAAATTTGCAGAAAAAAGTGCATTTATTATTTTCCTTACAAATCAGACTGCAAAGCATTGCAACCATGATCACTGGATTAGGGGTGCAATGCACAGGCTCCTGTGGATTCTTCCTCCATCTCCTTGTCTGTAACAAGTCAAGGACTTTCAGTTACTGAGCTGAAGGGAGTGTCAATGGACTACGAGTGTGTTAATCACGGCACTTGCGTTCAATTAAGAACTACAAGACTGTCTGCTGCAGTAGAAGACAGGACTTGTAGTTCATTCATTCACAGATCCTTATAAATGCATGAAGCTGCTGTGCTCATCGCAAGGGAGTAGAATGCTCACATGCTATCATGCTGGAAGAGGGGTGGGATCAGTATTTGGGTAGAGGGGTACACTTTCAATTGATGTTATCCCCTATAGTACATGGTCTAAAAAGGTGGATTTAGCCTTTAAATGCTTCACTGATGTTGGCAAATAACATCTGGTTACTTATTATGAAAGATACTGAAAAAGAAGGTGATCCAAGGAACCAAGTACTGACCTGAGAGTTCTTAAATTCAGAGTACAGAGAAAAGAGGACATGTAAAGATTGTATCCGACTCTTGTAAACGGGGATATCCACAATACCTGAAAAAAAACAAAAATTAAAATAATGAATTGTAATTTGACAATAACAACACCAATCAAGTACATTTTCCTAAAGAAAAAGACAGTATATGGCCAATATTCTATTGTAAATTGCTATGTGAAAGGTTACTCTTACTATTAAAAAAAGGGTAATTTCAACCAAGTCTTGTTTTTTGCCAGTTGTCTGTATCATGTATCACCTACTGTTTTCTTTTATCTCACAGACACGGATGACAAAATCTTTAAATTAAAGACCATTTCTGCACAGCCAAATGCAGGTCACGGCCTAGGGTGGGAGGACTGTAACAGGGCAGCATACAGTCTTTCCTACATCATGTTGCTGACTGTCCATAACACATTGCTGTGTATATGCAAAGGCTTACGAAAACAACCTTGCCTGTCAATGCAATTAGGCTTGGTCTTGATCAGGGGTGGGCAATTAATTTTCCCAAGGGGCCACATAAGAAACTGGGACTGTTGTGGATGGCCAAACCTAATTTTGCTCAATATTCATTTTGGACCTGGGAAGGTTCATAAGTACATAAACATATAGAAAACAGACACCTAGTGCTAGGAAAAATAATAAGTACAACTGCTTATAAAATAGGTTTCTTTCAGATGGGCAGTCAGAGGTTGGTAATACCAGGCTGCTGAGTCCTACCACCCATCCGAAGTAATAAAAAAAAAAAAAACGCCAAACAGGGCTGTCCACATGTTGCAGCATTTTTAACTCAACCATTGAGTACAACAGGGCTGTACTGCAACTGCATGAGATTGCAGCATGGTAGTAGAGAATACAGGGTTAAATCAGGAGGCGATATAACACCTCCTTGCTACCTCTCTAAAAGTACTGTGACTGGAAGGAGAGATCCTGATATTGGTAGAGTGGGGATTTCTGCAGATCCTGACCTGGAGAGAAGAACAAGTGCATGGGTCCCGGGGTTTGCAGCCTGCAGACTCTAACACAGGAAGGTAGCAGAGTAACAAGAGAGCATTGGGACATGCTCTCCAACCTGAAGAGAGCCCCCCTGTTGTGTCGCTTATCTCCCTAGGCTCTCTCTTTCCAGTTCTTGCAGATCTCCACACAGACATTTATCAGCGTGCCATGAGGAAGTGGACTTATGTTTGCAAACTTACCACATATCATATCAATATAGGTGGGTAGGTCACAGTCCAAATCAGCTGCTGGCAAACTAACCTGATGAAACAAGCAAGGGGAGAAGTTTAGAATGACTGTTCCTGTAGTCCACAAATATGAATTTCACATTAGAAACCAAACCTTTCCAAGGAGTTCTTCAAATTCTGGCAGCCACTCCTGCATCAGTGTTTCAACTTCTGGCATAGGCCTAGAGACAAATGATTTATATGTTTAAGATACATTTACATGAAAAGAGGAAAAATTTGAGTTTACTGGAGATTATTTTAGACTAGGATTTGTAGAATAAATTAGGGAGCATTCATTATCTCACTAAAGACTCATTTACATAGGAGTAGGGGCCCAAACAATGTGCAAGACTCATGTGTGTATTCGTCTGGAGAAGCATGAAGGCATGGCAGTGCAGACAGCTTATATTAGTCAATGGTGGTGAAGCAGCTGTACAGACATCCGAGTCTGACAGTTTAGTAGAAATGGTGCATGGCCCAGAGAAAAGACAGTGTATGTTTGTGGTCTCACACCCAGGGGTGGACTGACAACTCATGGGGCCCCCGGGCAATAGGGGATCATGGGGCCCCTGTGTCCTTGCCCAAACTCAAAAAAGCCTATGAAAAAGGTAAAAAGGTACCAGGAGCATCTCATGGGGCCCCCTACTGACCCCGGGCCTCGGGCAATGCCCGAGTTTCCAAATGGTCAGTGTGCCCCCTGCTCACACCCATCCTTGTGTACCTGTCAAACTCAGATGTACAGCTGCTGCACCTTTATTTTTTTTTTTTTATAACTTTTTATTTCATACTTGTACAAACAACATTAAAACATTCCATCTTCCAAAATATACTTTTTTCTTTTCTCCCCTAAATGAATAAATACATTCTATAACCCCTCCATCTCCCATGCTGCACCTTTATTGATTAACACAGGCTGCCTGCAGAGCTCCAGACCCATAAACAAACAGGGCTTGATCATTGCCTAAGCCTCTGCACTCACGTGAATGAGCCCTAAATGTCTGATACAATGAAGGAAAACTGTATTCAAGAATTTTGTGCAGGAAAGAGAAGTGAGGTATGTGAACTGTAGTTTATCATACTGCCCTCTGTTTTCCTGACCTGCTTATGTAAAATTCGATTAGGTTTGTCATTCATCAGTCCTCCTTAAGCCATTTATAAAAAACTATTTCAGCTGAAAACGTTTATCAAAGCCTATGAATATATTCATAAAAAATGAGCTGAAGCCATGTGTGGGAAACAGAAGATGAGAGAAGCCATGACAGTCAGGGAAGAGGTCCTCTTCCAATTCACAGGCAGACCTATTTCAAATACAGAATAATGTATACGGGTATACGATAAGAAAGTTAAGAATTTACCGAGTATAGTGAACACTAGCAGGTGGTTTTGAATGATGTAATTCGCTGATGCTTGTTATCCAAGAATCTATAGCTTTGAGATTCCTTTCTGCATTGTCCAGACTCTTCACTTTTATTTGCTGCTGCTAGGAAGACATAACAGTGGCATGAAAAACGAAGGGTCCTTTTTTGTTTTGTTGTGCTCCAATGAAAAAGTGTTTTACATTGTGTCATTAGAATGGCAGTACATATTAATGTACTGTACTAATTCCAGCAAAAAAATATCATTGTAATTATAGATGTACTATGTGCTAAATCATGTTAAATACCATGAACAGAGTTGCTACTTTACTGGCATTATTAATCTATTTTCGCAACAGCATCACCCCCATGCAAAAAGATACTAGTGTCACACTAGGCATACGGGCAGGTCTCTCCATTGCTACTTTGGTAGGCCTGGTGCTTAGAAGAGATTATGAATATTGGAAATCCACAGGAGAATAATTACAGAATTACATGAATTCCATTTTATAGTTAACAGCTTAACTTGGATTTATTCAATTGTAGACCAAGACTAGGCTTGTTTCACCCTGGTCTGGGTAAAGAAGGGCCACATGTTGGCTGCAGAAGCAAGAAGATCATTGGTGAATTATTTATGCACAATGTATACTGCATCCCGTCCTGGGTATCAGGGGCAATAAAAGGCCTGGAAACACAACATCGGCCAACATGGTTTAGAAGGGGGCAGTGTCCATTTTTATCCTCTCCCAAAAACCCTCCTAATGCAGAAGTGCACACAGGCTGGTTGCAGTATGCAGTGAGCCACATCCTCAATGATACTCCAGTAATTGCATATCCTAAATTCTGGGCTGCTACTGAAGGGCACAAGAACAGGAGAAAAATAAATACATAAATAAATAAAAAACATCCAGCAACATTAAACATAAATGCCTGATCATGAGGAAGTAGTTTTTCACTATCTTGTATCAACTCAAAATATAGCACAATTTTAACACTGATAAAGCAGTACAAATTAGGTATTAAATACTTGATATTAGGATTTTTGATTTACCTATGGAAGCCTCTCTTTGGAGTACATCAAAGGATACAGGGTTTCTATTATTCATGACTGAAGTTATACTGCCATCCTCGGGTGTTTGGGATTAGGAGAAAAAGTATCACAATGTCCTGGTTCTGGTATAAATAAGACACCATAAAAAGGCAAGTGGTTGCTTATAATGTGTACCATGACTTAAGCAAAAAAAAAAAAAAAGGGAAGGCAGAAGCTGAAATACTATCTCAATGAAGGGCCAAAAAGTGTTTGTTTGTTACAGGAGAGTACAGCCCATACCCAGACCCTATGAGCTGGAGTAATGGCCACAAACAGACCTCCTTGTATGTAAGAAGTGCCAAAAGGAATACCCAAATGGGTTCAAACCCATGAGCATGCTGTCAAAAAGAGACAACCAATTAAGTCCCGATGGGTACACTGGAGACCAGACAGGCAGACCAATCTGCATGATCCCCTATACAAAAGCATTTACCAATGAATGAGATGGAGAAGGCCTCTAGAATGGAATAGTCAAGGCCAAAATCTGACCCAGATAGTACTCAAAGTCAGAGACCAATCCAGGCAGACTGGAGAAGAGCCAAAATACATCCCGCAACATACTGTTGAGGATGAAACCTTTGAGCCTCACACCAGGCAAAATAAGTCTTTCAAGTGTAATGGCTAATTACTGATAAATTTCAGCTGGTGTCTTGGCTTTCCATGCCCTTTTTACACCTCCCTTTCTTCATGTATTCAATAATTTTTCCCTGTGTCATTCCATTTTATTACACATAACTTAATTTCTGAACTTATTTGTTTTGGTTTCTTTGTATGTATGAATTGCATGGGTTGTTATCAACATGGAGTGAACATTTAATGTTATTAGCACCTTTAGAAATAGATTTACCTAGAAAAAAGGTGACATGTTCAATACTTATTTTATCCGCTGTATGCCACCACTTTGGCATTGCCAGACTGTGCCCAAACTGGGAGATCCCGATGGCAAACCACACCATTATTGGACAGCTATGTGAATTGCCAGAAGTTCCAAAATGTTGATTAGCAAGGTCTGCTGCTCTACTGATCATGTTCCCTGAATTGATGGCACACCTCCCCAGCCTGTCAAGCTTGCATATGTCATCAGAATCTTCCAGGTTATCAGATGAAATTACCTTGCAACATTCAGAAAGAGATACACCACTCCAGAGCCAACTTGGCCTTTGGATTCAGATGCATAGTTAAATCCAGGACTGTGGACTCTTGCCCCAGGCAAACAAAATACTAAGTTGCAACTCCCAGGAGTGGAACTGGGCATGCGGAATAGTATCAAGGGCAGAGACCATCTTCCTCAGCACCCTCATGCAGAGGTGGTTATAGAAATCTCCAGAGACTTTAAAATTCCACTGGGAATCTGAGAGAACGACACTTTCTTTATGGAAAGAACACTAGATTCAAGTATTCCAGAACAAGGCTGGTTTTGAATGTTCAATACTCAATCAAACTGCTTTAGAACCTGCACTATCTGGAATGTTTAAAGACAAGGCCTGATCCAATTAAACCTCCAAAATGGGGATACTCCAGGTTTTCAAAAACACCAGCATGAGAGCCAACACCTTGGTGAACACTCTGGAAGCAGTGGATAGGCCAAATGGCAATGTCACAAACTGGTATTGACAATTCTCCACAGCAAACCTTAGAAACTGCTGGGGAAGCTGAAAGATGAGGATGTGCAGGTAGACATCCTTAGTATCTATTGACAACAGGAATTTCCCCTGTTGTGAATCAATTGCAAACTGGGTGGACTCCGTTCTAAATTTTTGCAGGAATTACATCCTGAGACAGCAATGTTTCCAATGCTGCAAAGGAACTCGCTCTTCTTTGGGGTTCTAAGACAATTGAGCACATGGAGGCTGAAAGCTTCTGAATTCCAGCTTGTAACCTCCTGACAGCACACTGTAGATTCATTTGTCTGCATTGTCCCAAGCCCATACAGCCGAGAAATCTGATAAGCATCCCCCAACCGCAATAGTGGGGGAACCCTTTCATTGGGAAGAGGACTGGTCTCTGGACTTTGAGGTCTTTAAGTTCCAGTTCTTCTTGCAAAACTGCGTGGTAGGCTTCTTTTTTGGAGCCTGAGGTCTTTGGTTCATGAAATGACTACTTGTTTGTAGTTGAAGAAGGCCCTGGACCCATCTGTTTTGCCTTCTTCAGGGTCAACAATATGCTTTTTCCCCCCCCACAGTCACCTTCTGATCAAAGCATCCAATGACAACCGAAACAACATTTGCCCTCAAAGACAGCCACTCTATTTGCTTTTTACAGAAAAGTTTAAGCCACAGGATTACCGTTATATGGATGGACAGAAGGTTTGTCTATAGAGTTGCTCAGTGAAATCTTCCAAAGCATCCATCAAGAAACCTGAGGCTCCCAGGAACTCCTCCAAATGACAGGTTTTGGCCACTCCTTGGCATATTCCCATTGCAGCCATTGACGGCTGCACCTACCAAGGAGAAGGACGCCTTAAAGAGAGCTTCCAACCTTTTATCCATAGTATCCTTAAAAACCGAGAGAACAAGGAAAGTACCCACATTTGTATCCCAGACATTCCAACCCAGTGAGAACACATGAGAGCTGTTTGTGCAAGCCTGAGAGAGCAAATGAAAATTCTGCTCTAGAAACAAAGGGGCCTGCCCTGAAACAGTGGAAAAATCAGGTAAGGGCAGGGATTGAGAACTGATATGACCCTGAGGGGAGCCATTACAGAGCAAACTATGTAAGGGGGTCTTCCCTACTATTTCCCTTCCCTTCCCACCCCTCTGCCCGAGATCCTCATCCTCCATGACTTGTTGAAGAATACAAGGCCTCCCAGGGGAATACTGCCACCCAGCTGAGAGGAGTGTTTTGCAAGGAGATACCCTGGATCAGGAGTCCTGCACCACTGCCTGTGCCACTGTGTTGTTAAGATGTCCGCAGGAGCTTATCCATACATTTTAGAGTGCCCAGGGAATCCATCATGGTGGCCATGCATGCAGCCAGGCCCATGCTTTTCCACGACCACCAAACACAGTAGCAGAGACCCAGCTATTTCCAGAAGACACAGTACCAAACATAGGCAGCTCACAGTCTGCCCCACCTGCAGCAGCGCCGTACAGCACAGTACAGTATCACAGCACAGCACAACAGGATCCTGCAGTATGGGGCATATGTAAGAAGGATATCCACAGGAGCAGCTTTCACACAGGAAAACTAACCAGTTTAGGCTGTAGGTCTATCAGAAAGCCCACATCTTTACCCATCACAGCAGGAATGCCACAAAGGGGCTTTTAAGGGCACGACTTTCCCTGGGGATCCCTGCACTGAACCTTTACAGCACCCTGCCAACATTGGTACTGGATACCAGGTACCCAGGTTAGTGCTGCCCACAGGGTCCAGTACTGACCAGCAACCCTATAGGCCATCCTTGATCTTCACAATGGGGTCTGAATACCATTCCTCTAGGCTCAGAACCCTAGGCGACCCATCCAGAAATAGCCCTTCCTATTCCTTAGCAGGGGTATATGTAATAGGCAGTAAAATCCACAGGCAAATGGCCATAGATACAATTCTTCATAATTCAGAGGCACATCCATGATGTAAGGTCACTAACACAAAACTAAAGCTGTGTTGTGCTGCAGAAGGATATGCCTCATGAAGAGCCTGCCTTTTTTTGTCTGGCGTCCATTTATCTGTAGGCGACAGCATAGCAAGCAATTAGTCATAATTAAGAGAAACCCTGTGATGTACGTTTAAGAAATACCGTTTTTGATTAATCTAGTGATATTATCACATGTGATAACACTGTCTGATACACCACATTTAGTAAGTATACTATCAGGGTTGAATATTCTATATACAAATCTTACCCACAGAATTATAAATAGTTCTTTGTTATCCCTCAGAGATTCATGATGTTTGCTTCCATAGTTTGAGCTTCCTGACATAGTTACTCACCGAAACACTGTGTTGCTTTGATCCTTCAGTCAACCATAGAGCCATAACAGTGGAATCAGATTGCTTTGTTGATGGTTCATCCAGAGTTAACAGACCAAGGTTATCGGGTTTACCATCAGGCCGTGGAACCTACATGGGAAATACATGAATATATGATAAACTTGGGATGTCATCTACATAAAGGTATATATTTCATCACAATTTCTAAAACAAGGAATTTTTCCAGACAGACAAAACTTTATGATACCATAAAATGTAATAAATAGGATTCCAATGCAGCTGCTTAACTTGCTTAAAACACATGTGCAGCATGTATTTATATAGCTATAATTTAAAAAACACTAAGCAGCAATGCTCTGATGTGAACCAGTAACATAAGAATTAATGAAATTACTACTTGAAATGCGTTTTCATGCAGTAGAATGGACAAAAGCGAACAGACTCTGAGGGTCCATTCATAGTAGATGCGTTAAGGCTACGCAATCAGCTATTCCCACTTTTTTCAGAGAAGCAGGCTGCGAGGCGAACCACCGCATCGCAATGCTATTCACCAATCACTGATGACATTTCAATGAAGCTCTGTGAAAAAGAAAGAAAACAGTGTCTCGTGCCTGGATCTGCACATTGCCACTGTGTCTCCTAGCAGACACCAGCAGATGAGAAATCAGCACAGCTTTCTGTTGTAAACGGATCCTCAATTAAAACAGCATGTCAAATTATCACAATATCCAGAGATATAGACAGGTCAATAACAGGCACATCTATATTTTTCTTCAAAAGTCAAAAGCTTGAATTCTCAGCTTGCTACCTTCCCAACTGCTATACTATTCCTCTGAAGTATATATACCGTATTTTCCGGCGTATAAGACGACTGGGCGTATAAGACGACCCCCTACTTTTCCTGGTAAAATATAGGGTTTGGGCTATACTCGCCGTATAAGACTACCCCTCTTCCAATGCACACCAAATAAAAATTAAAAAAAACATCAGATTTGATTTCAATATGGTATGGTATTTCAGTATGGTATTCCAATGATGGGGCACGATTCCTCGCTCTGACACCAATGATGGGGCACTATTCCTCCCACTGACATCAATGATGGGGCACTATTCCTCCCCCTGATACCAATGATGGGGCACTATTCCTCCCATTGACACCAATGATGAGGCACTATTCCTCCCATTGACACCAATGATGGTGCCCCATCATTAGTGTCAGTGTGTGAGGAATAGTGTCCCATCATTGGTGTCAGTGGGAGGAATAGTGCCCCATCATTGGTGTCAGTGGGAGGAATAGTGCCCCATCATTGGTGTCAGTGGGAGGAATAGTGCCCCATCATTGGTGTCAGAGCAAGGAATCGTGCCCCATCATTGGTGTCAGAGCAACGAATCGTGCCCAATCATTGGTGTCAGTGGGAGGAATAGCACCCCATCATTGGTGTCAGTGGGAGGAATAGTGCCCCATCATTGGTGTCAGAGCAACGAATCGTGCCCCATCATTGGTGTCAGTGGGGGAATAGCACCCCATCATTGGTGTCCGTGGGAGGAATAGTGCCCCATCATTGGTGTCAAAGCGAGGAATCGTGCCATATCATTGGTGTCAGAGCAACGAATTGTGCCCCATCATTGGTGTCAGTGGGAGGAATAGCACCCCATCATTGGTGTCCGTGGGAGGAATAGCACCCCATCATTGGTGTCAGTGGGAGGAATAGCGCCCCATCATTGGTGTCAGTGGGAGGGATAGCGCCCCATCATTGGTGTCAGTGGGAGGAATAGTGCCCCATCATTGGTGTCAGTGGGAGGAATAGTGCCCCATCATTGGTATCAGTGGGAGGAATAGTGTCCCAACATTGGTGTCAGTGGGAGGAATAGTACCCCGTCAGTGGGGAGAGGAATAGTGCCCCATCGTTGGCGTCATTGGGGGGAGGAATAGTGCCCCATCGTTGGTGTCAGTGGGAGGAATAGTGCCCCATCCTTGGGTATCAGTGGGAGGAATAGTGCCCCATCCTTGGTATCAGTGGGAGGAATAGTGCCCCATCATTGGTGTCAGTGGGAGGAATAATGCCCCATCATTAATATCAGTGGGAGGAATAGTGTCCCATCATTAATATCAGTGGGAGGAATAGTGTCCCATCATTGGTGTCCGTGGGAGGAATAGCACCCCATCATTGGTGTCAGTGGGAGGAATAGCGCCCCATCATTGGTGTCAGTGGGAGGGATAGCGCCCCATCATTGGTGTCAGTGGGAGGGATAGTGCCCCATCATTGGTGTCAGTGGGAGGGATAGCGCCTCGTCATTGGTGTCAGTGGGAGGAATAGTGCCCCATCATTGGTATCAGTGGGAGGAATAGTGTCCCAACATTGGTGTCAGTGGGAGGAATAGTACCCCGTCAGTGGGGAGAGGAATAGTGCCCCATCGTTGGCGTCATTGGGGGGAGGAATAGTGCCCCATCGTTGTGTCAGTGGGAGGAATAGTGCCCCATCCTTGGTATCAGTGGGAGGAATAGTGCCCCATCCTTGGTATCAGTGGGAGGAATAGTGCCCCATCATTGGTGTCAGTGGGAGGAATAATGCACCATCATTAATATCAGTGGGAGGAATAGTGTCCCATCATTAATATCCGTGGGAGGAATAGCACCCCATCATTGGTGTCAGTGGGAGGAATAGCGCCCCATCATTGGTGTCAGTGAGAGGGATAGCGCCCCATCATTGGTGTCAGTGGGAGGGATAGCACCCCATCATTGGTGTCAGTGGGAGGGATAGTGCCCCATCATTGGTGTCAGTGGGAGGGATAGCGCCTCGTCATTGGTGTCAGTGGGAGGAATAGTGCCCCATCATTGGTGTCAGTGGGAGGAATAGTGCCCCATCATTGGTGTCAGTGGGAGGAATAGTGCCCCATCATTGGTATCAGTGGGAGGAATAGTGTCCCAACATTGGTGTCAGTGGGAGGAATAGTACCCCGTCAGTGGGGAGAGGAATAGTGCCCCATCGTTGGCGTCAGTGGGGGGAGGAATAGTGCCCCCATCGTTGGTGTCAGTGGGAGGAATAGTGCCCCATCATTGGTGTCAGTGGGAGGAAGAGTGCCCCATCGTTGGTGTCAGTGGGAGGAATAGTGCCCCATCATTGGTATCAGTGGGGGAATAGTGCCCCATCATTGGTATCAGTGGGAGGAATAGTGCCCCATCATTGGTGTCAGTGGGAGGAATAATGCCCCATCATTAGTATCAGTGACACCAATGATGCGGCACTATTCCTCCCACTGACACCAATGGCACTTGCTGACCCCTGTTGCAGTATTGTACTGCTGCAGCCAGCATATGTGGTTGCAGCAGCACCTCTGCACTGCACACTTACCAGCTTTTCCCTCACTCGATTTTCGCGGGTCCGCTCGGCTCCGCCTCCTCGCCCGTGATTGGCCGCCTGTGTGCCTTTCCTGAGCTACAGTTCTGGCGGCCAATCACCGGTGAAGAGGCGGAGCCGAGCGGCAGGAGTGAGGGAGTGGCCGGAGTGACTGAAGGAGCAGCACTTCCTGGATGGATCGTCGTGGGAGCCAGGTAAGAGACAGCAGCCCTCTGCCACCCCTGTACTTAGTGTCCCTTCCGTCGGAAGGGGGGGGGCGGCGACGGCACCACGCCGCCCCCCTAAAAATTGCCACCCTGACGTATACCGGCGTATAAGACGACCCCTGACTTTTGAGATTTTCAAGCGTCAAAAAGTCGTCTTATACGCCGGAAAATACGGTATATACACACACACACACACAGTTGTGTTCAAAATAGCAGTGTGTTGAAAAAAGTGAATAAAGCTCAAAATCCTTCTAATAGCTTTTATTTCCATACACACAAATGCATTGGGAACACTACACATTCTATTCCAAATCAAAACATGAAGAAAAATATATCAAATTTGTGTTCCTCTAAAAAAATTGAAGAAAAGTGAATATTAGTCTGTTCAAAAAAATAGCAGTGTTTGTATTCTTCTTTACAAACTCAAACATTCACTATATAAACTGAAAAATGTTTGAAGATTTTGCTTTCCTTTGAATCACTTAATTAATATTTCGTTGTATAAGCACTGTTTCTGAGAACTGCTGTACATCTGTGTTGTATGGAGTCAACCAACTTCTGGCACCTGTGAACAGGTATTCCAGCCCAGGATGATTGGACTACATTCCACAGTTCTTCTCTATTTCTTGGTTTTGCCTCAGAAACTGCATTTTTTGATGTCACCCCACAAGTTTTCTATTGGATTAAGATCCGGGGATTGGGCTGGCCACTTCATAACGTCAATCTTGTTGGTCTGGAACCAAGATGTTGCACGTTTACTGGTGTGTTTGGGGTCGTTGTCTTGTTGGAACACCCATTTCAAGGGCATTTCCTCTTCAGCATAAGGCAGCATGACCTCTTCAAGTATTCTGATGTATTCAAACTGATCCATGATCCCTGGTATGCGATAAATAGGCCCAACACCGTAGTATGAGAAAACATCCCCATATCATGATGCTTGCGCAACCATGCTTCACTGTCTTCACAGTGTACTGTGGCTTGAATTCAGTGTTTGGGGGTCGTCTGACAAACTGTCTCCGGCCAATAGACCCAAAAAGAACAATCTTACTTTCATCAGTCCACAAAATGTTGCGCCATTTCTCTTTAGGCCAGTCAATGTGCTCTTTGGCAAAATTGTAACCTCTTCAGCACATCTTTTTTTCAACAGTGGGACTTTGCGGGGGCTTCTTGCAGATAGCTTGGCTTCACATAGGCGTCTTCTAATTGTAACAGTACTCACAGGTTAACTTTAGACCTTCTTTGATCTTCCTGGAGCTGATTGTTGGCTGAGTCCTTGCCATTTTGGCTATTCTTCTATCCATTCGAATAGTAGTTTTTCGCTTTCTTCCACGTCTATCAGGTTTTGGTTTCTATTTTAAAGCATTTGCAATCATTTTAGCTGAGCAGCCCATCATTTTCTGCACTTCTTTGTATGTGTTCCCCTCTCCAATCAAGGTACGCTGTTCTGAACAATGTCTGGAACAACCCATTTTCCGCAGAA